CACATATATATACATATACATATATATACATATATCCACATATATATACATATATACACATATATATACATATACATATATATACATATATACACATATATATACATATATATATACATACATATATACACATATATATACATATATATATACATATACATATATAAATACATATATATACATATACATACATATATATACATATACATATATACATACATATATATATATGTACATATATACATATATAAATACATATATATATATGTACATATATACATACATATATATATATGTACATATATACATATATAAATACATATATATATATGTACATATATAAATACATATATATATATGTACATATATAAATACATATATATATGTACATATATACATATATAAATACATATACATATATATACATATATATATACAGTACACACATATATATATACATATATATACACATATATATACACATATATATACATATATACACACATATATACATATACACATATATATACATATATATATATATATATATATTTACATATACATATATTGGCTGTTCTCCGCTGTTTCTGTGAGTAACAAGTTGACTGGCCTAAAACATTTGATTGTTGTACATGATGGATGGTTCCTTTCTGCACGTGTTAAAGACGGTTTCTTTGGATTCCACAGCAGGCTGGCTTGAAACATCAGTGAGGTGCTATTTATAAGACAGATCTTGGTGGCAGGCCTCAGACTGATGAAGTCTTTCGGATTAAAGACGAAACGTTTCTCCAAAAAGAAACAGCCCAGAGGACGAGTTAACTTTGTTTGTGATCCATCTACCTGGATGACTGAGCTTCAAAACATCTTCACAGACCAACACCTTTTCTCTCCAGGCAAAATGTTTTCAGTCACACTCACAAATCATCTCGTCTTAATTATTTGAGAAACAAATGTAACGGAACAAAGGTTCAGCCTGCTGAACTGCAGTGGAAAATAAGTTTCAGTTTTATTGAAAGTAAGCAATAAATAATACTGTGATAAAAATAGTTCATAAGTACTCAGACTGTACATCGTTAACAATCAGGAGATCTGACAGGAAGAGCAGGAATAAAACAGCAACATGATTTGTGCATAAATGACTAAATCACACAAAAAATTAAAAAAAAAAGACCTAGGAAAACATTTCTACATGAACTACACAGAAAAGGTCGTTTCTCATTTGTCATGAAGATTTGTTTAGGAACTGGCGTTTGTGGATGATGGGAAAAACTCAAAGGAGGAGCTTTAGCTGTGAACTGACAACATGAAGGAGTCAGAATAAATAGAGACATAATGTAGACCACAAACAGTAAGGCTTGATCTTAGTATAAAGTGATTATTTCCAAAGGTCTGTGTATGGATATGCCCTAAAGAGTCTATAAAGGCGGGACGTCACTGAGGTGCAGCTGCTAGAAGCTGCTCAACAACTCAAACTGTGAAGAAATACAAGTTAAGAGTTGTCAAACTACGTGAAGAGGTCAAAGACCTCGCTGTGGGTCACCAAACACCTGAAATGTTCTCAAGACATGAAAGAATCCTTTTAGCACACTTTCACTACCATTGTTACAAAAAAATCTAAATGGGGAAACAGTTTATTTATATTGTCATTAAGGCCTTATTTCAGCAACGTTTGTGTCGATTTGGGGTTACGTTGTTATTTTGTGGATCAGAAACAAACACTTCAGTCTTTAGAAGTAAACTGAGACAGGCTGGAGGCGCCGGTAAAAAACGACGGCTGTCTGAGTAACTGTGCTGCACGAATCATCGGGTTGAACTTCTCTGAGTCTCTGCGAGCGTCAGGAGGAAACTGAGGATGTTTGGGGACTCCCTCCGAGGGAAGAGCCGCTCCTCACTGAGATACTTGTTAAAGATAGAGCAGGGCTAACGCTGGTGGAGTTGGTCCAATAAAAGGGGCTTCTACATGTTAAATGTCCTCCTGAACAGCTGGTGCTTCTTCAAAGGTGGAGATCTTAAAGGGATCTGTTTGTTGTGGGGGAGGGGGGCGTTTGTCCAGGAGAAATGTGGAGCATTTTTCTTATCTTCATACTAAAAAAACCTGAAAGTCGGACTTTCCACATGCGAAGGCAGCCCTCAGGTCACTTCCTGCTACAATTATATGGCTTTGATTCTTAAAATTTAAGAGATTTGTTTTGGTATCACAGATATGGAAAATGAAGAACAAAAGACTCGTTTCACGTGATATCTGTCGTCCTCATCTCCTGGCTTGCCAGCAGTTCGGTTAAAGGTGAAGGATGACTCACAGTGTTTGTGAAACCGAGTCTGGAGACTCCAGCAATTAGTCTGATACACATATCTGTTCATCGAAGAACTGCATTTACACAAAACCATAAGCTACAAAAATTACAATTGTTAAAAAGGGCTAAAATATATGAATTAAGTTATATTTCATATTAAAGTCACTTCAGAATAAATTCAATGATTAAAGGAAAAAAACATACATCTGGTCAATAGAATGAGAAATATAAAAAAGATTAGATAAAATATTTGTTGGTAGAAATACACAAGCAGTGAGTTTCTTAAATCTGAGCTTCAAACTGAGAAGAATGTGATTTTAAAAACTTGGTTGATTACAGGGACTGAGGCCAAAAGCGGTTATAGCAATTTAAAATATCAATTAAAAGTCCCACAGTTTACATAAATATCATAAAAACTAGATCATTGCAATATTCCTCTGTGGATACTGAGACATGGGAGTAAATTCTGTCCTTCAGAGTCCGCTCAGTTCATCATCCTGGTTTTGAATGCAGGGAACTGCCCTTCATCCTCTGACCGGCGGTCACCTATAGAAATAATGAGGATAAACTGAGAAGGGAGGAAAGACACCAACGGGCATGAGAAGGATGGAGGAGAGAAACAGGGAGGAGCGAGAGGAAAAAGAAGAGAGACGTAAAACATGCGTTTCCAAAGCAAAAACCATGGGTACACAGTCCTGCAGTGGACTGGTGGGAGTCCTGGTCTGTTTGGGAGCTGTTTGACACACGGTGAACTGAGGCCAATGATTCTGATCTGATGAAAGAGCCAGAACTCCCATCACTACTGCAGGGAAACATCTGTACGGAGCTCTACTGCAGGGAAACATCTGTACGGAGCTCTGCAAGTGTGAAAGGCAAAAACAGTCTAGTTTTAAAGAGTGCTCTTCAAACTCGGTGCACAAACGTTACACTTAAGAGGCTGCATTCGCTGAAGAAGTGCAGAGATATTGCACAATCATCAGAAGTCAAATTTTGGCTGGAGGATGACCCTCAGCTACTTCTGCACTCACCTTTAGCTCAGAACATTATGGAATGACAGCATTACAGTGGTTTTTGTGTTGCTCCAGCTCGTTACCTCACTGGCCTGTGACTGTTGGTGATTAGTTGGAGAGTCAGAGCAATATGCTGATGTTCCCCATCGCTAAATGATTTGAACAGTGAATGTTTGTAGTTTTTTGATGAGTGTTTTTCTGAACTGGAACTAAACAGGGAATGCAAATAAACCTTAACATTTTGGTGCAAGATATTCAAGAGGGTAGGAGGGACACTGTTGAGAAGAACAGGATGGGCTTTTTTTTTGTCAGAGTCGGTGTATGAATGACCGATCCTGGCCAGCAGAGGGAGCAATTTCATCCACCACCAGGTGTAGAGGTGGAGCCAGAGGGTGGTTAATGGTTGCACATACATATACAGGTGCTGGTCATAAAATTAGAATTGAATGAAAAAGTTGATTTATTTCAGTAATTCCATTCAAAATGTGAAACTTGTATATTATATTCATTCATTACACACAGACTGATATATTTCAAATGTTTATTTCTTTTAATGTTGATGATTATAACTGACAACTAATTAAACCCCAAATTCAGTATCTCAGAAAATTTGAATATTGTGAAAAGGTTCAATATTGAAGACACCTGGTGTCACACTCTGATCAGCTAATTAACTCAAAACACCTGCAAAGTCCTTTAAATGGTCTCAGTCTAGTTCTGTAGCTGCACAATCATGGGGAAGACTGCTGACTTGACAGATGTCCAAAAGACAACCATTGACGCCTTGCACAAGGAGGACAAGACACAAAAGGTCATTGCTACAGAGGCTGGCTGTTCACAGAGCTCTGTGTCCAAGCACATTAATAGAGAGACGAAGGGAAGGAAACGATGTGGTAGATTAAAGTGTTCAAGCAACAGGGATAACTGCACCCTGGAGAGGATGTTGAAACAAAACCCATTCCAAAATGTGGGGGAGATTCACAAAGAGTGGACTGCAGCTGAAGTCAGTGCTTCAAGAACCACCATGCAGAGACATATGCAAGACATGGATTTCAGCTGTTGCATTCAATGCGTCAAGCCACTCTTGAACAAGAGTCAGCGTCAGAAGTGTCTCGCCTGGAACTGCTGCTGAGTGGTCCAAAGTTATGTTCTTTGATGAAAGTAAGGTTTGCATTTCCTTTGAAAATCAAGGTCCCAGAGTCTGGAGGAAGAGAGCAGAGGCACAGAATCCACGTTGCTTGAGGTCCAGTGTCAAGTTTCCACAGTCATTGATGGTTTGGGGCCATGTCATCTGCTAGTGTTGGTCCACTGTGTTTTCTGAGGTTCAAGGTCAACACAGTCGTCTATCAGGAAGTTTTAGAGACTTCATGCTTCCTGCTGCTGAACAACTTTATGGAGATGCAGATTTCATTTCCCAACAGGACTTGGCACCTGCACACAGTGCCAAAGCTACCAGTACCTGGTTTAAGGACCATGGTATCCCTGTTTTTAATTGGCCAGCAAACAGGCCTGACATTAACTTCATAGAAAATCTGAGATATTGTGAAGAGGAATATGTGATACTCCAGACCCATATATATATATATATATATATATATACAAACCGGATTCCAAAAAAGATGGGACACTAAACAAATTATGAATAAAAACTGAATGCAATGATGTGGCGATGGCAAATGTCAATATTTTATTCGTAATATAACATAGATGACAGATCAAAAGTTTAATCTGAGTGAATGTAACATGTTAAAGGAAAAATATGTTGATGCAAAATTTCACAGTGTCAACAAATCCCAAAAAAGTTGGGACAAGTAGCAATAAGTGGCTGGAAAAAGGAAATTGAGCATATAACGAACAGCTGGAAGACCAATTAACACTAATTAGGTCAATTGACAACATGATTGGGTATAAAAAGAGCTTCTCAGAGTGTCAGTGTCTCTCAGAAGCCAAGATGGCAAGAGGATCACCAATTCCACCATTGTTGCACAGAAAGATAGTGTAACAATACCAGAATGGTGTTACCCAGAGTAAAATAGCAAAGACTTTTAAGTTATCATCATCAAAAGATTCAGAGAATCTGGAACATTCGCTGTGTGTAAGGGTCAAGGCTGTAAAACTCTACTGGATGCTCGTGATCTCCGGGTCCTTAAACGTCACTGCACCTCAAACAGGAATGCCACTGTCAAGGAAATAACAGAATGGGCTCAGGAATACTTCCAGAAAGCATTGTCAGTGAACACAATCCACCGTGCCATCTGCCGTTGCCAGCTGAAACTCTACAGTGCAAAGAGGAAGCCATTTCTAAGCAAGCTCCACAAGCTCAGACGTTTGCACTGGGCCAGGGGTCATTTAAAATGGAGTGTGGAAAAATGGAAGACTGTTCTGTGGTCAGATGAGTCACGATTTGAAGTTCTTTATGGAACACTGGGACGCCATGTCATCCAGACCAGAGAGGACAAGGATAGCCCAAGTTGTTATCAATGCTCCGTTCAGAAGCCTGCATCACTGATGGTATGGGGTTGCATGAACGCTTGTGGCATGGGCAGCTTGCATGTCTGGAAAGGCACCATTAATGCAGAGAACTATGTTCAGGTTCTAGAACAACATATGCTCCCATCTAGACGTCATCTCTTTCAGGGAAGACCCTGCATTTTTCAACACGATAATGCCAGACCACATTCTGCAGCAATCACAACATCATGGCTACGTAGGAGAAGGATCCGGGTACTGAAATGGCCAGCCTGCAGTCCAGATCTTTCACCTATAGAGAACATTTGGCGCATCATAAAGAGGAAGGTGCGACAAAGAAGACCCAAGACGATTGAACGGTTAGAGGCCTGTATTAGACATGAATGGGGGAGCATTCCTATTTCTAAACTTGAGAAACTGGTCACCTCTGTCCCCAGACGTCTGTTGAGTGTTGTATGAAGGGTGGGATGCCACACAGTGGTAAAAATGGACTTGTCCCAACTTTTTTGGGATTTGTTGACGCCATGAAATTTGGAAACAACAGATTTTTCCCTTGAAATGATACATTCTCTCAGTTTAAACTTTTGATCTGTGATTTGTGTTCTATTCTGAATAAAATATTAGATGTTGGCACCTCCACATCATTGCATTCAGTTTTTATTCACAATTTGTTTAGTGTCCCAACTTTTTTGGAATCCGGTTTGTATTAAATTCCCCTTCTTCATCTCTGATTTGGCCTTTTCTTTTGTTTTTTTGCCAAGAGGCATTGATCTCTTCCTCCTGCCTTGATGCAATGACTGAAATGGTGAGAAATGAAGGAATTTGTCACGAGTGAATTAAACTCAGGTTCAGCGTGGCTGCGGGAAGGTCTGGAGATTTCCTGGTGGACTGGTCTGATGTGTGGGCTGCAGAGCCAGCGCTCCCTGTTATTTTATTTTTTAGATCTTTTTATTAACAACATATAAACACAGAACACCGATGAGGCCGCCAGCGCTAGTTTTTTTTCTTTTTCCCAACCTGTCAATCAATCCAGTAGGCGTGTCAGCAAATGACCAATCGGCGACCTCAATTTGTCCCGATGGTAAACGCCCCTTGTCTGTGAAGCTGCTCTGCAGCTGCTCAGGGTGTACGCTGGAGTACAAAGTCTGAACCCTTTGCGTACAGTACACATGAACGGACGGACGTGGGAGTATACTGGGGGCTTTAGACTGCTGGAGGACAAACTGACCACACTTTTCACTCTGCTACTGTCTTTACTTACTCTGCTCAACCTGTTTTGTATTTGTAATTATTTTTTCTATCCTAACGTGTTTTTATCTTTCAGGTACACCTGGACCTGCCATTCTGTGTTCGTCTTTCTCTCCTTCCTGTCCTCTCCAACCAGCCGGTCAAAGCAGATGGCCGCTTGTCCTGAACCTGGTTCTGCTGGAGGTTTCTTCCTGTTAAAGGGAGTTTTTCCTTTCCACTGTTGCCACTGTGCTTGCTCAGGATGGGAGACTGTGATGAAGTGAAGATTCAACGAGTCTGCTGCTTCTTTAGATAAGAGAACTTTACTAATTGGCTTTTCTATGTATGTGAATGTTTCTGTTAAGATCCCTGAGCCAATTTCTGCTGTGAATTGGTGTTATATAAATAAAATTAACTGAAATGAATTTTAATTTGTCCAAAGTACAGACTTTAAGCTACACACCAGTGTTTAAGTCTTTTTGATTGGAAAGTAAAACCAGAATTATGATCAATAATTCACGCCACATCTTTTTTGAAAATCATTGTCATATCTGATGTGGTTTAGAGCGAGGCTGCAGCAAAAACGGGCAGTCTCAGGGACAAAACACACCCATCACCCTCCACTTTCACATCCCACCCCCGCCAAACAAACAACACCCCCCGCCCCACCTCTTTTCTGATGGAGGCTTGAAGTTATTTGTCAAGCGCCAAAAAATCTACAGGAAGAAGAAAAAAGATGTGAAAGTTGAATGGAGTTTGGTATGATTAAGACAGTGAAAGAGTGAGTCATGAGGTTTGAGAGATTTGTGATATCGTGTTTGGGTTTTATAGTTAGGGTGAAGTTTAGTGTGTTTAGTCCGTTTTAGTGTGTTTCAGTCAAAACGATGAGATGATTTTTGAATGTGAGAAGGAGGAGCTACAGACCAAGAGGAGGACGGAACCGCCGAGTCAGAACCTCTCAGACAGAGGAGAGGATCATGAAGGAGAAAAACAGTCCGAGTCAGAGAGAGGACTGCTGATGAAGAGGGTGATCATGATTTGTTTGAGAAGAGAGGACTGAGCCCCACTAGGAGGTCTGACTGTGCAGAGGAGGGGATCCAGAACACTCTGACTGGGCCAACAGAACCAAGCATCAGTTCTGAGCTCTGGATAAGAGGATGTGTATGCTGACCCAAAGAGCGCACTAAAGGAGGAAAAGACACTTTTTAAAAATTACTGTAAAATAAATATTTTGTCAATTAAAGAATGTAGTGTAGAGTGTTTAAAAAAAACATCAAACGTTAAAATAAAAATTTAAATCTGATATTTTTATTTCAGGCTGACATCTCTAACAGACTGACTAGTTTTTTTTGTGGAACAAATATTTAAAACTAGTATTTTTAATCAGTTCAATAAGGTGGTTGATTTCCCCCTGAGGAACATGAGTAGTCATAAAGTTAAAGGTTACAACAATCTAATTCAGATGTTCACAATATGATGCTTTGGATGTTGATCAGATTTCATGATCTTATCTGCAGCTACAGAAAACAAAGTGACATTTTTGAGCTGCATGCATTCAGCTGGGACTGCTGCAAGATACAGAATAAAGATAAATCCATTGTGAAACAATTCTTTATTAGATTCTTGAAAATGTATGTATGTTATCCTGCTCTACAAATTGATTGACAGCTGCTGTTGATTATTACTTCATAACGCTTCATGTCTGTGATGATGGTTAGACATTTTCACCACACAGAACATCTGTGTTGATGTTGGAAATGACTCCAGCCTCCTACTCTGAGCATTATTGAGAAGGCTGACAAAAGTATTTCCAATTCCATCTCGTCTCTCCCTGATGGGGGACAAAAACAGGGAAGTTTTCAGTTTCAGTCTCACTGAATTCTGAGCATTTTAAACATGGAAGTATCTTCTGTCAAACTATTTTTTGCGTCACTATTTTTTAACTATTCTGTGTTTACACCCAGAGCTGTATAGAGCTGCTGTATAGTCGTATGTCTATGGCGCTGGTTACGCACACAGACGGGGTTCACGTGTGCAGCGCGTGTCGTCCAATGGCTTCAATTTATGAGCATAAAGTTGCTTGTGTTTGTCTGCAAGGAGAGAGGAGCGCAGCCTCCTCCTCTCAGCGTTAAAGTCAGCCTGTGGGTGTTAGAGCCTGAACGGCCTGATTCAACATCTCCATGACCGGACTCTGCTTCGCACCGAGGACGGAGCTGTGCCTGGGATGTCAGCTGGTAAGTTTACATTTGTTAACGTTACTGCAGCTTAATACGTGCATCGCAGTGAGTTAAACTAGGATCCATGTAACGCTAACTTTAAGATATTAGTGTGTAGCTTTATTTTATTTTAATAAAAATGTATGCAGTAGAGAAGGGAATGTCAAGAGAAAATTGGAAGACATCAAAGATGTGGCTGTGGTGGATGGGTAGACCACAGGACCAGTGTGGCACAAAGACCATTAAAAAAAGCTACACACTAATAACATCTTAACTTAAGATATTAGTGTGTAGCTTTTTTTATGGCTATCTATGTAGGTAACTAAAATCAGAAGCTAACTAAAGATTGACAGTAACAGATAAAGCTTAGCTTGTAAAAATGTGTTCATCCATCCAGTCAGCTGCTTAAACAGTTCACTAATGTTCACTGTTTATGTTCATGTTCTCCTCACAGGAGCCTCTGACCCTGATGTGAGGACAAAAGAAAAGTGAGGTGGGGGCACAGGACAGTCACAAACTTTGTTGTTAAAAGTTTGCTGCTTTTAACTAGAGTGGAGGCTGCATGGTGGAGGTAAGTTAAGCTACAAAGGATATTGTTGACCAGTTAAACCTTTATCTCTCAGCCTAGATAATGGTTTTTGAGCAATAAGAACACAACCATGTTATTGTTGACATTTTGTGTTCTCATGTCAATTAGGGAGATGATCAGAGCCCTAAACCCCAGAGAATCACAGAGAAGATTCAGGAAGAGACACAGAGGTACAGAAGTCTGCATCAACCCTAACCTCAGTGAATCCAGTGACCTGCTGGTGGAATGTGAGGGACAATATGTCAGTGTTATCAGACTTGTCAACCAGGGATCTGTGTGTGCAACAAGAAACATTCACACCCTCAGAGTGAACCTTTCTTACTGCTGGAGACACCATCAGCCAGAAGCGGGCTTGTTTGTGTCCAGAGAAAGCAGACATGTTGATTTTTCTGAAGAAAAACTGTGAAGTGAAAAGGTCCTCAGTGAACATTAGACACTGACATGTCACTGGTTTGAAACTGTTTTTTTGACCTGGAAATTATGTTTTCATGTAAGAAAAGTGCTTGGAATGAAAAAATACCAAAGTTAAAAAATAAAACTCAGGATTTGTACTGTAATGTGTAATGCCATTTTATTCTTGTTAAGAATTGATGTTATTCATAAAATTGGTACCAAAAAAGTGCTGTTCAGGAACCGACACCGAAGTGAAGGTACCGCTACCGGTACAGAATTTTTCTGAAAGGTACCCAGCCTGTGGCATTAGCAGGGCTCCGTACACATGCCTCTGTAGTAAGACATTTGGCTCACAGCTGATGTAAGTGATCTTACCGTTGTGTGTTAGCAAGAGTAGGTCCTGACTGTGGCAGTGTCCAGCCTCTGGACACACTGACTTCCTGTTTCCATGTTGGCAGAGATCACATGCAAACACATGCCGTTAGTTGCAGCACAGCCATTCAGAAATGATTAAGCAGCATGAAAGAAGCAAACGCAGTAAGAATAAAAAACATGCACCAAGGTGAGACACTCCTGCTTACCATCCATCGGGCTCCTCTTTGGCTGTGTGGGGGGGCACACCACACTGCTGCTTGTCACTCGAAAGTTGGCAGGTAGAGTATCTGATGCGCCCAACGACATCCCCCTCACATCTTTGGGTCGGAACTTCTTTCTCCACGAAGGCGCACGGCGAAAGTTTTTATCGTCATCCTGAAGGGAAAACGTTTCAAAATGTGAGACAGAGAAGATGCTAATTTCACATGTGCAACCTAACCCCCACCCCCTTACCCCCGCCAAGCCCCCACATGGATGCACACACAAAGTGCCAGTCTCTCACCTCTTCCATCTTCCTGTCTGTGCCAACGGCCAACAGACTGGAGTATTCACGCTCAAGAGTGGCTCTGGCCTGTGGAAACACCAGAAAACACCTTCAATACTCAAAAAGCTTTCTACAAGGACTGAGCAATCTAGCAAGTGTATTCAAGAGTTTGCACTTGTGCATGACAAAAATGACTTTTTCCCCCTTTCAGCTGCTCCCTTCTTCAGGGGCTGTCACAGCGAGTGAACTCGTAAGAGGATTTGACAATTATTATAAATAAACCCATTATCTAATGCTATCGACAAATGGTTACCGTAATAGTCGCTCTATAGAGTGCACCTGAATATAAACTGTGCACACTAGATTAAAAAATATATTGCACACATACAAGCCACGGGTGCTCATGTTGTAACATGAGTGGCAGCACAGCTACTGAGAGATGTGCAGCTCTTGTTGTAGATCAAGATTCAACCACCAGATGATGTTTTATAGACTTTATCTTCCTGTTCAACCTCACAGGTCGTCATGACAACTACCTCCTTCACTCATAGTTACTCTACTGAATGGCCTAACACAAACTAACACATGATGAACACAAACTAAGAAGAACAGACTAATCACTAAAAGAACAATGATAAACAGCTAACTGAAATTATTAACAATGAACATACATTTTACCCATAATCCCTCCCTGAGGTCAATTCAATTCAGTTTATTTATGAAGCACCAAATCACAACAAAGTTGTCTCAGGGCACTTTACAGGAACATTCACATAAAAGCCAGTTAGTAAAGTTCTCTATCTAAGGAATCCAGCAGACAAGATGAATCTTGGCTTCGTTGCAGTCTCCCATCCTGAGCAAGCACAGTGACAACAGTGGAAAGAAAAAACTCTCTTTTAATAATAATAATAATAATACATTTTATTTGTAGGTGCCTTTCTTGGCACTCAAGGTCACCTTATATTGTCAATGTCAATCATAAAAACAGACACAATATTATACACACAGTAAAAACAAGTAAAATAGAATTGAAATAAGACAATGCAGTTGTAATCACAGAGTGTAGGCTTCTTTAAACAGATGAGTTTTGAGTTGGACTTTGAAATGTGGCAGTGAGTCTGTATTACGAATATCAGGTGGGAGTGAGTTACAGAGCTGGGGAGCAGCGCAGCTGAATGATCTGCTCCCCATCGTAACAAGACGGGCAAGGGGAACAATGAGCTGAATAGAAGAAGAGGATCTGAGGGTGCGAGCGGGTGTAGCGATGTGAACAAGGTCCAAAAGGTATGGAGGAGCGAGGTGGTGGTCAGCTTTGAAGGTAAGGAGGAGTATTTTTGGGATGGGAACTTTTATGGGATGGGAAGCCAATGAAGTTGTTGTAAAACAGGTGTGATGTGATGGATTGATGGGGTCCGTGTAATGATAGGGGCAGCTGAATTTTGGACCAGTTGTAATTCATGGAGGGTTTTCTGAGGTAGGCCAAAAAGAAGAGAATTGCAATAATCTAAACGAGAGGTGACCAGACTGTGGACCAGATAACAGGAAGAAACCTCCAGCAGAACCAGGCTCAGGACAAGCGGCCCTCTGCTTTGACCGGCTGGTTGAGAGGACAGGAAGGAGACAGATAAACAGAATGTCAGGTCCAGATGTAGGTGCCCATGTATTCCTAGGTCGGCAAGACCTATGGGGTTCACTGTGTCTATGTGTTGAACAGGAAGATAAAGTCTATAAAACATCATCTGGTGGTTGATTCTTGATCTACAACAAGAGCTGCACATCTCTCAGTAGCTGTGCTGCCACTCCTGTTACAACATGAGCACCTGCAGCTTATACACAAGCACAGCTTATACAGTACATGTACTTTACTTTTTAGTGTATGCGACTTATATTCGGGTGCGCTCTTTAGACCAGCAATTACGACATACATTCATGTACAAACACAGATGTTGTTCAGTCAAGAAATAAAAAATAAAAAGGGGACAAGAAATCCAACAGTGTCATGGAAAAGTTTAATATTAACTAATGTAACATTCTTTCACACTAGAATATCGTTTTTGACAGAGAGATGATTTAAAGGCCGGGACAAACTTGAAGAAAATCGGCCCACATTTGGCTAGCCATTAGCCTAGCCTAGACGAAAGTTTCTGCCCTTTTTATCCAAACCATGTGCTCTACGACTGATGTCACGGCTCATAAGGTATTAAGTACAACTGTTAGACAGAAGATCAAATCATAACTATCACAGACTATCCCTTTAATGTGCCACTTTGCTTTTGTGTAGTAGACAATATTTGTTTAAGAAGGTGCCACTTTTTAAGTTATTTTGATGAAAATAGTGAGGGACTTGAAAACGTCCACTCTTTTGAAGGTGGATCACAGCTTGAAGTAATCTGCTTACACTCCCTGCTTCGTTATTTCCTCCATGTGTTCAGAGTCTTGTCCTGAGAGGACCTCTCTACAGAAATTCAGGTTTGAGGCTTCTACTTTTGTGTTCATCTTCAAACACGCTCATTCAAACAGGAAGTTCACAATCCAAGATGTTCTCTTTTTTATTTGGTCTAGTCTACAGTGAGTCTTTTTGAGTCACGTAATTGTTGATATGTGCTGCTGATTATCGATTCTGCTGATCTCATGCTGCTGTGTTCATTCGTACTCATCTGCTCACATTCACTCATGTTCATGCTGCTGTTGTTTGGCGCATTGTTTTTATACTATTAAGTGTTTAATGTTTTTCTTAGTTCATATCTTAGATCTTATTACAGTTATTCTTTACCATTTATACTTTTTTTGGATGCAACTGGAACCCTGTGAACACAATTTCGTTCCACCACATGTACCACAAATGGTGCGAACGACAAATAAAGAAACTTTGACTTATCTGGCAACCCGACTGATATCGAAAGTACAGCGTTTTTGTGTAAACCCGCTCATTTTTTGTTTAAAACATTGAAAAAACACTAACGTTTCCAGAGGTTGTTCTTGTGTAAATGGGGCCTTACAGCAGGTAGATCACTTTGACTTGGTCATTTTAAAAGGAGCTGCATGATGAAAAAGCGTGGACACCCCTGGATTGCATGGTTCTGATACTGAAATACAGTGTTTCATTACTGTCACCTAGAACTACACTAAAACTGATCCCGTGTGGTGACCATCAAATATATATTGTATTACCATGTAATGTATAAAATACTTTCTGATGATGTTATAACTATCATATCATTATATATGTTGTTTGTTGTTGTGGTTTCTTGGTTTAGTCGGGTTTTTTTTTTTTCTCTTTCCGCAGGTCTAGAGTCAGACTTTAATGATGTTGATTTGTGGTCTCTTTATCCCTCTCTCTCCTCTATTCCTATCTCCTTAAAAAAAAACAAAAAAAAACTGATCCTGTTTGGTGCAGCGTCAGAACACAGCTGCTAGTACTAGGGCTTTAACAAACTACTTGAGTAATTGACACATCGATTCCTAGGACATCTATCGAGAGTTTTAATTTCACGTCGAGTATTCGTGGTGACGTCATTACGTCGCCGTTACGTCATTGCGACACGTGATCCGCACCGGGCGCAGGTTACAAACTGGATTCCTCCCAGCAGACAGATGGAGCAGAGCAGGTCCAGTCTTGGCAAACAGGTAGAAATGCATCAATAGTCTGGAAATATTTCACTAAAGATGAATCTTCCGGTTCAACTACCGTAAGGAAACAGAAGATGAATCAACTTCCTGACTGTTTGGAGCTCGTTGTGAACCGGTGTTACACCATATTCTGTGACCATCGTATATTGTGACCGTAGGGGGCAGTGTTGCATGCACTGTTGCAGGTCACAGAATATGGTGTAACACCAGGTCCAATCGACTGAACCAGAACCAGCTTCCTCTGACCTTGTTTCACAAACAAAAATCAAAAAATATTAATCTCTAAACCTGTAAAAAACCTATAAACATATTAATCTCTAAAACTAAACCTAAAGCACCACAGCTGGCGGTGGTGCGGGGTGGTCGTCCGCCTCACTCTTTTTAGTTTCGTTTTTGACATGCTGCACGTTTTATTTATGTATTTATTTTTGTATCTTTAGATCCTATGACGTCATCAAGTACTCGAGTTCTACTCGAGTTTTATTATGTTAATGTCGAGTTTTAAAATTATTTAGTCGTTCAACCCCTAGCTGGTACCTGTGTGTTTTGTGTTGGGATCTGCAGCAGGAGTGCCAGGGTGTTGGGATCGAAGCTTTCATCCAAGGCAAGCAGTGCTCCATGAACACCGCTCTCATAAAGGTTGCTGCTGTACTCTTTGAGACCGATGGCCTGAATCCAACTGATCACATGTTCATTCGTCCATACCAGCACGTCTGAAAGGACAACAGTGACATGGCAATTGTATTTAAAAGCTCTCTTGGCATTTTGAAAAAGAAGACATCACATCATTTGTTCAGAGCCATAGTTCTTGTGGTACAGACCTTATAGTGGAACATAAGTTGTAAACTTTATTTTAAATTTAATTTTTTAATTTATTTTTACAAAAGTCGTTTGGCCCTTTTCCCAATGAATAAATTTGCACAGAGCCACAAAACCCACTTGAATACGGAAGAGAACATTTTTATTTAATTAAAAATAAAACTCCTATTTATTAGATTTCTTTTATAAAATAAAATACAATTCAATTCAGTTTATTTCTATAGCGCCAAATCACAACAAAGTTGTCTCAGGGCACTTTACAGGAACATTCACATAAAAGCCAATTAGTAAAGTTCTCTATCTAAGGAAGCAGCAGACAAGTTGAATCTTGGCTTCGTTGCAGTCTCCCATCCTGAGCAAGCACAGTGGAGACAGTGGAAAGAAAAACTCCCTTTTAACAGGAAGAAACCTCCAGCAGAACCAGACTCAGGACAAGCGGCCATCTGCTTTGGCCGGCTGGTTGAGAGGACAGGAAGGAGAGACAGACGAACACAGAGTGGTAGGTCCAGGTCCAGGTCCAGGTGTACCTGAAAGACAAAACCACATGTTAATGATAGAAAAAATAATTACAAATACAAAGCAGGTTGAGCAGAGTAAGTAAAGACAGTAGCAGAGTGAAAATTGTGGTCAGTTTGTCCTCCAGCAGTCTAAGCCTATAGCAGCATAACTAAGGGACAGCTCAGGAAACCCAAGCCGACCCTAACTATAGGATTTAGCAAAAAGGAAAGTCTTAAGTCTAGTTTTAAAACTGGACAATGTGTCAGCCTCACGGACAGAAACTGGAAGTTGGTTCCACAAGAGAGGAGCCTGATAACTGAAATATCTGCCTCCCATTCTGTTTTTGTAAATTCTAGGAACCACAAGTAAACCTGCAGTCTGAGAGCGAAGTGCTCTGTTAGGAAAATATGGAACAATAAGATCTGTAATATAAGATGGAGCTAGGTTGGTGAGAGCTTTGTAGGTTAGAAGTAAGATTTTGAATTCTATTCTGGATTTGACAGGGAGCCAATGGAGAGAAGCTAAAACTGGAGAAATATGATCTCTCCCAGTAACTCCAGTTAAGACTCTGGCAGCAGCATTTTGGATCAACTGAAGACGTTTTAAAGAAGTATTTGGACACCCAGATAATAAACCATTGCAATAGTCTAGTCTAGACATGACAAATGCATGGACCAGTTTTTCTGCATCATTTTTAGATCAGATGTTTCTAATGTTAGTGATATTACGCAGGTGGAAGAAGGAGGTTCTAGTAACGTTTTTAATGTGGGGGATAAAAGACATGTCCTGATCAAAAATAACACCAAGATTTTTAACATTAGAGCTGGAGGACAGATTAATGCATCTAAGGAGGGAGAAAGACTGAAAAATTCATTCCTAAGGTGCTCAGGTCCAAAAACCAAAACCTCCGTTTTGTCTGTGTTCAACAGGAGAAAATTAAGGGTCATCCAGGTTTTTATGTCTTTAAGACATGCTTGTAGTCTAAGTAGCTGATTTGATTCATTGGGTTTAATGGACAAATATAATTGTGTGTCATCAGCATAACAATGAAAATTTATCCCATGCTGTTTAATAACTTTACATAATCTGTCCGTGAGGCTGACACATCATCCAGTTTTAAAACTAGGCTTAAGACTTTCCTTTTTGATAAATCCTATAGTTAGGGTCGGCTTGGGTTTCCTGAGCTGTCCCTTAGTTATGCTGCTATAGGCTTAGACTGCTGGAGGACAAACTGACCACAATTTTCACTCTGCTACTGTCTTTACTTACTCTGCTCAACCTGTTTTGTATTTGTAATTATTTTTTCTATCCTTAACATGTGTTTTTTTTCTTTCAGATACACCTGGACCTATACCTGGACCTACCATTCTGTGTTCGTCTGTCTCTCCTTCCTGTCCTCTCAAACCAGCCGGTCAAAGCAGATGGCCACTTGTCCTGAGCCTGGTTCTGCTGGAGGTTTCTTCCTTTTAAAAAAGGGAGTTTTTCTTTCCACTGTTGCCACTGTGCTTGCTCAGGATGGGAAACTGCAATGAAGCCAAGATTCAACTTGTCTGCTGGATTCCTTAGATAGAGAACTTTACTAATTGGCTTTTATGTGAATGTTCCTGTAAAGTGCCCTGAGACAACTTTGTTGTGATTTGGTGCTATATAAACTGAACTGAATTGAAAAATGGAAGCACATATAAGGTAAAGACTACTGGTCCAAGTACTGAGCCCTGAGGAACTCCATGACTAAATTGTGGTGTATGAAGAAGATTCATTATTTACAAAAGTTCATGCTCAATAATCCAGGTATAAATTATAACTGGATTATTGAGCATGAACTTAGCTGTTTTTAACCACTTTGGCATGACTGTCTCAGAGGAGCTGACGGTGGAGAGGGAGGGCCCCAGAGAGGGCAGGCCCCGGACGCCATTTTAGCACCAGCAACTCTTTTCTTTCTTAGTATGGAGTATGCCGTTCGTGGGAATCAGTTTTGTTTGGTGGCTTCTCAGATTGAGGAAGTCCTTTGGATGAAGGGCGAAACGTCTGAGTATAAAAACAGAAACAATGCAGATGACCTGACTGAACATTGTTGGAGTCAAAATTTACATTTACAAACTGGAATCTATCAGATAGATATGATTTAAACCATTTTAGAGCTGTTCCTGTAATCCCAATATCATATTCAAGCCTCGGTAGTAAAATATTGTGATCAACTGTATCAAATGCAGCACTGAGGTCTAACAGGACCAGTATAGACACAAGTCCATTGTCTGAGGCCATGAGAATATCATTAGTGACTTTCACTAGTGCTGTTTCTGTGCTATGATGAGCTCTGAAAACTTACCAAAATTCTTCAAACTAAGGGTACACCGATAAATCGGCTGTCCAATTTGTTGGCCCTGATTTCCTTAGTTTTGGGAGATCGGCCGATACATTACAAAACGATTTTGCAGATTCTTTGTATTTTTAACAACAATTGTCTAAACATCATTTATATTTCAGAGCACTACCTCATGGCCAGTTAAAACAAGTTTGTATCCTTTCTAAGATATTGTTCAAGGGTATGTTTTTCAATAAAATAAGAGTGGAAAATTGAAGGTGCACTGTGACCTTATAACACCTAACAGTTACTCTTACAAAAAAAATAAAATAAAATAAAAAATCGATATCGGCCAAAATCGGCATCGGCAAGTCAGGCTAGAGATCGATGATCGGTCAGACAACTACAATCGGTGCACCCCTACTTCAAACAGATTATTTATTTGTAGATGTTCAAGCAACTGACCTGCAACTATTTTCTCTGCAATCTTTGAGATGAAAGTTAGATTAGATATAGGTCTAAAAGTGGCCAGGATTCAAGTTAAGTCAAGTTGTGTTTATTTGTCATATGCAAGGTTAACACAATGAAATGCTTAGGATGAGAAGAACCGATTTGACTCACTAAAAAAAAAATCAAAGAACAAACCAACAAGAAATACTAAAAGCATGCAATAAGGGTACACCAAAAAAAAGTACCAATAAGTGATAAAGTATTTGTATTTACAATGTCCTAAAGAGAGAGTGAACAACAACATGGTAAAATATAATGGTGAAGCAGGATGAATTTGAATGAATAAGTATTTCAAGGTAGTAATATAAGCTAAAAT